TAATTAAAAGTAGCTATTGTTGGGGCTGAGGATATAGCTCAGTCAGTAGAGTGCTTGCCTCACATTCACAAGGCCCTGGGTTCAATCCTCAGTACCACCAAAAAACAAAAAACAAAACAAACAAAAAAACATAGCTATGTTATTGTATTCATTAAGGTACCCTRTTGGGTACCGTGAAGCCTAAGGGCCAGAAGTAAATGGATTAAGTAGTAGAACTTGACCATCAACTCTGAATACAGAAGTCTGAATCCACATGCTCAGTCTGATTCCCCATTTCTAAGATGGCAGTTAGAAGCCAACAACTATATGCCCTCACTACATTGCATCAATTCATGCCTGGGGATTACTCAGTTTAGAGTTACCAAAGCCTGGATACCAGAGCTTGACACCTTTAGAAAGAATCATCAGGGGCCAGGCGTGGTGGCACATGGCTATAAATCCCAGCAACTAAGAAGACTGAGGCAGGAGGATTGCAAGTTTGAGTCCACTGTGGGCAACTCAGCAAGACCCTGTCTCAAAGGAAAAAAAAATTAAAAGGGCTGGAGCACTTGCCTAGCATGTGCTAGGCCCTGTGCTTAATCTCCAGTACTAAAGAAAAAAAAAAAGAATCATGGGGAGGAAATGGCCCAACCAGGCAGCCTGAGTTTCTAAACTTAGGACTCACTGTTACCCTTTGTATTTTCGTTGGAAGAAAACCTCTATTCAGCCTGAAGCTGGTATCATGAATCATTCAAAGGTGTGGTGTGATTTTGACTAGAAGCTGGACTAGAGGCTCTGAGCAGCTTTGGAAGCAGTTATACTCTTGTGGTTTGACTAACCTTTTTTATGAGTGTGTTACTAAAGAAACGTGAGCTGTTGGCTTTTCAATTACTGTAGCTTACCCCTTCAGAGTTTCATACACATTGAGTCATCGTGTCTACAGGTGACTGATAATCATCTGCACTGCTCAAGTTACGGTAACTCGTAGATGAGGGGATCCGATGATTGCAAGCTGCACGTGAAGATCTGAGCCCTCCCCTCTTAACAATGAACAATGGTCTGCATTAACCACAGAACTCAGTCACATATTTCCACTCATCCAGGGGGTTATTTTCCTCTTAATGTTTTGCCTCTTGCAGCTTCAGCACTCATCTCGTGTTCTGATATTTGCCGCGGGTGGTATAGATTGTGAAATTGTAGGCCTGGGTGAAAAAAGCAGACTCCTGGGAGAAAGGATGAAAATAGTTTGTGATACGCCCCACCCGGGGAAACTCTCTGGAGCCTCTCTGTTGGGTGGGAAAAAAAGAGAGAGATTCAAGAGGAATCCTGGTATTTAGGGAGTTTGGCAGAGCAGGCCACACTGGGAAATCATCAAAACTCTGGAAAGCTAAGAAACCAAAGTTCATCACTCTTGTGTCACTTTCAAGAGAATGAACGTTGTGACTTCAGCTGGCTTTTGTGCTTGCAGTGTCTTTCTTCCAGTCAGCCTCAACAAAGGTACATCCAATCTGGGTCTTGAAAATAGGAACCATTGTTTACTTTGGCAAAGGCATAATTTTCTGTCACTTCTCATTGAGTTGTCAGGGTAGGGTACTTTTCTTCACATATTTTTTTTTCCCTCTTAAGTTTTTGTCTGGAAATTATCAGCTTGGCTTTAAGGTAGTGGGGACACAGGACAGATCCATTTGGTTCGAGTTGGTCTTTTAGCTGGCCTTTCTGGCTTCAATTTCTGGTCCATCTCTCACATTGCCCTATCAATGACCGCAGCCTCTCTCCCTCAAGGGCACGCAGCCATTTGTTGTTTGTTCACATCCACACCCTATGGTTGGTCACCCAGAACCCTATGGTTGGTCACCAGAACACCGGTCATTTGGCCCCACCATATTTTGTTTTGTTGTTATTTTTCAATGTTTCCCAAAATATACAATGTAGGGCTGGGGATGTGGCTCAAGCAGTAGCAYGCTAGCCTGGCATGCCCGGGGCACTGGGTTCGATCCTTAGCACCACATAAAAATAAAATTAAGATGATGTTCCCATCAAAAACTAAAAAAAGAGGGCTGGGGATGTGGCTCAAGCGGTAGCGCGCTCACCTGGCATGCGTGCGGCCTGGGTTCGATCCTCAGCACCACATACAGACAAAGATGTTGTGTCCGCCAAATACTAAAAAATAAATATTAAAATTCTCTCTCTCTCTCAAAAAAAAAAAACTAAAAAAGAAATATTAAAAAAAAAAAAAATATATATATATATATATATATATACACACACACAATGTAAACTGACAAGAAGCTCACAGGGCATTTTAAAACCTTTATTGAGAAAATAATTCTCTTTTTAGATTTCTTTCAATCTCTAAGGAGATTGTTTATACCAAGGAGAATATTTAGATTTAATTAGATCCTATTTGTCTTTAATACTAATCTCTCACTTGGTACTTTCTGGGTTTTTGCTTTTTGTTTTGGCTTTTTAAAACCAAGAATTGAACCCAGGGTATTTTATCACTGAGCCACATCCCAGCCCTTTTAATTTTTTATGTAGAGACAGGGCCTTGCTAAGTTGCTGAGGCTGGCTTTGAACTCTTGATCCTTGTGCCTCAGCCTCCCAAAGTGCTGGCATTACAGGCAGGCACCAATGCACAGAGCCAGTAATCTCTGTTTTTTTTTAATATTTATTTTTTTGTTGTAGTTGGACACAATACCTCCATTTCACTTTTTTTTATATGTGATGCTAAGGATCGAACTCAGGGTCCCGCACTTGCAAGGCAAGCGCTGTACCACTGAGCCACAACCCCAACCCAATCTCTGTTTTTAACCAAGAGAAAGGATCTTAGTGTCCAAGTATTCATAGTATCTAATCAAAATTTAATAAATTGCTCTTACATTGTCTTTGTTTTTCACAGTTACACCTGCTATTTGCAGCAAAGATTCTAGTTTTCCATTTGTTAGTAATATAAAGTTCCCTTTGATATTTTTTTACATTTTACTTATTTATTTATTTACTTAGGGTGGGTATTGGGGATTGAACTCAGAGGCACTTGACCACTGAGCCACATCCCAAGCCCTATTTTGGATTTTTAAATTTAGAGACAGGGTCTCACTGAGTTGCTTTATGCCTTGCCTTTGCTGGGGCTGGCTTTGAACTCCCGATCCTCCTGCCTCAGCCTCCCAAGCCACTGGGATTACAGGCATGCACGACTGTGCCCAGCCCTTTACATTTTTTATAATAGAAAAAAAGAAAGAAAAAACAAACTGTTTCAAACTTAAGGAAAAGGAAAAAAATATTTAAAACTCTGGCATTTACCAAGTGTCTTTTGTGTGCCAGTTGCTGTTCTCAGCACTTTCCAGTGATCCCAATAAGGTAGTTATGATCACTGTGTCCATTTCACACAAGATCATGCAAATAATAACTGATGGAGTTGGAATCAAACAGTCCATGCTACTCTGTGCAGTGTGTGAGGGGAAAGTGCAGTTTGAGAGATACTTTATTTTGCACTTCTTGCCATATCTTTAGCCAGACTCTCTCACTCTTCCCTCAGAGTGTCCTGCACAGTGCCAMCATCCTGCCTTCATTTCTGCTGTCCCCCAACTAGTATGTCCTCCCTTATTCCTCAGATAATCTAAATCCTACCAGTTCATCAAGACCCTTCTCAAAATTCAGATTTTCCAAGAATGCTTTCCCTCCCCCAAGTACTTTGGAAATTCTTACTGTCTTGACTTCGCCTGTATGTTGCCTTTTAATCCTTGTTACAGAAGACATGTTACTCCTGTGCTTAAATGCCTTAACTGTGACATTTAAAATAAAATCAAATTTCTCCTAGAGCAAAACAGCCCTTTCAAACTTTTTATCCTSTAATTTGTCTCCAATTTCATATATACATGTCTCATTTCTCTCCCACTACATTGGAAATGCCTCAAGAAAAGAAACTGTTTCTCCTGATCTTTTTGTTTTCTTCTGGTGTTACTTTCTTTCTTTCATTACTTAAGCCTCTTCTGTTTAAGGACAAATTTTGGAACATCAATATGCCTAGAAATGGTATAGAAGAGAAGGAGARGGCTCAGCAAATCTCTCAAGAACCCAACGTCAGCCAAGTGGCCTGAGCCCACCCCCTCTCATCCTCCATGCTCTCTCTTCCCTCTCCAGGCCACTGGTACCATCACATCCTCCACTGCTACACAAACGGTCCCTGCCTTCTCCTTGACCAGAGAGCCTCTCTCTGTTTTCTAACACACAACACCCACATGCCCTGCGGGCGACTCACTCCATTTTCAGAATTTCTCAGCAGTTTGACATGATTAGAAGTGGGAGACAAATAAATGTCTTCAGCTAAGTGTGAGATAGGTCCTAAGGATCCCRATTGTATCTAGGATACATCTTTCAAGTAAAGAAGAACAGCACATTTTAGTAAAGAGAGAAAGATGTGGTTCACTCCTTAAGAAGGCATTTGTAGGGCTGCCTGCATCTGAAGCTCTTTTACTTCAATCTGAGTCCAGTGGGTGGCTGGTGAACTAAGGAGTAGGAAGTTGGAGTCTTGGGGGCTATTTTCTCTGTCTCTGTAGCTATTTTTAAAGCTACTGCGGCTGATCACTGAGCATCCCCTAACATTACAAACAGAAAAATAAGCTAAATGAGAGTCTGGGAGTTGGGGGCACTTACAACTTCACACAATGGAAGTAGAGCAGCCCAAGCCCCTGCTCAATGGTCGCTCTCTCCCCTCTAAGCCTGTCATAGTRTCTTCAGCCTCTTTTCCTCCTTTTCTTTCCAGTGGGCATTCCTCAGGATGCAGCCTCTGCCTGGTGACATCTCTGCCTCCTCCCTTTGCTCGCTGAGCTTATTTTGACTGTCCAGATGTGTAACTGGCAAACAGCATCCCTTGAGACTTCCACTCTCTGTGGAAACAAGCCACCAGGGCTGGGTGTTCTTGAACATACCTTTTCTCGTTTTTTGAGGGCTCTGGAAAATAATGTCATCCCCGCCTGTCTTGGCTACATGCCCTTTGTAAGCCTTCCTTTCCTTTGTTCCAGGTGAGAAGCGCCACTGTTTTGATGTCAATTATAATTCCAGCTACATGTATGAGAAGGAGAATGAGATGATACAGACCCGGATGATGGACCAAGCCATCAACAATGCTATCAGCTATCTTGGGGCTGAAGCCCTGCGCCCCTTAGTCCAGACACCACCTGCCCCCACCTCTGAGATGGTTCCAGTTATCAGCAGCATGTACCCCATAGCCCTCACCCGGGCTGAGATGCCAAATGGTGCCCCCCAAGAGTTGGAAAAGAAGAACATCCACCTGCCAGAGAAGAATCTGCCTTCTGAAAGAGGCCTCTCCCCCAACAATAGTGGCCATGACTCTACGGACACTGACAGCAACCACGAAGAACGCCAGAATCACATCTATCAACAAAATCACATGGTCCTTCCCCGGGCCCGCAGTGGGATGCCACTGCTGAAGGAGGTCCCCCGCTCTTATGAACTCCTCAAGCCCCCTCCCATCTGCCCAAGAGACTCCATCAAAGTGATCAACAAAGAAGGGGAGGTGATGGATGTGTTTCGGTGTGACCATTGCCGCGTCCTCTTCCTGGATTATGTGATGTTCACCATTCACATGGGTTGCCATGGCTTCCGTGACCCTTTTGAGTGTAACATGTGTGGATATCGAAGCCATGATCGATATGAGTTCTCGTCTCATATAGCGAGAGGAGAACACAGAGCCATGTTGAAATGAACATCAGTACAGAGATTGCACTAAGGATTCAATCTCATTTTTAAAAACTGATAACCCTACTCTAACAGGTTGTTCTCAGATCCACACTCCTTTCCACACCATTTTTAGTAGGGTCATGTTTCACATGGATAGTCAGAGAAACCCTGTCTTCATTCAGACATTGTCTGCAAATCTTCTTTTTACTTTTGTGAAACCTTTGTTTTACCATCAGTTGAATTTTAAGGAATTTAAAAGCCAAAGAAGTATTTTGTCATCATATTTTGCAGCAATAGAACAGGCCATCCGTTGAAGTCTGTTTCCCAGTCAGAACAGTCCCTCAGTTGTGCTGCAATAGATTCTTTCTGAGATATATCAGTCATCTATTGAAAAGTCTTTTAATCCTTTGCCCAACTCCATGAAGAGGAAGAACTGACCAGCTGGCCTTGCCCTTCTGCTCTTAACACAAGACTGAAGGGTTAGGATATAATCTCCCCATCTCAAGTTATAGTCCAAGAGTAAGGAAAAGAACTGTTACCAGTAACTAAAGGTCCTGATCTCAGAGCATCAGACGCATCTCCTATCACATAAGCAAATGGGCATTTGTTGACGCTTTTGCTTCTTCCCTTTCTCCTTTCGTCACCAGTGAAAAGCTGAGCCACTTTAGGCTAATCCAGTTGTCTACAGGAGAAATTCTGTACCAAAAGAACTGATGGTTTTAAATATAAACATCATTTAAACTCCAGAAAGTTGTCCACTGAGGATGATGGCATCCATTTCCATTGATCAAGATTGGCGCGGCAGGGTCTGAAGTGAAATGGTTTAGCACACCAACAGGGAAAAGAACCCAGCAGCTACCTAAAAGTTCATTTCCCTTCATGGAGCATTAGAGGACAGACCCAAAGCAAACTTGAAAATGATTTTTTTTTCCACACACACACAAAAACAAGGATTGAAAACATAAGGCTTAGCCTCCTCCTCCCCTCAGGAGGGGAGTCAGTGATGGACGCCATATTGGTTATTTAGTTCAGAGCTGAACTTGGAGATGGGGTGAGCCAGGGCACCTCTACTGACAGGTTCTCCTTGATCAGGCAGGTGTAGACTCTCTTTTCCCCCATTTTAAATGGAGCCACTGGTATTCCATGAAAATCCCTGAAAGTCTAATATAGCTTCTCCAGATTTATCAGTCATCTTTGTTGTGATTACTGRTCATCCAGCTATCGAAGAGAAGTGCTATGATAATTTGTAATACCAGCAGTTGGCTAGGGGTCACCAAACCTGTTTACTAACCCTGTATTTGCCACTAATTAGTTTGTGACTTTGAACAAATCATTTAACTCTTAAAACAAAGTTTCTTCAACCATAAAATAAGTTGGATTTAGACCTTCTCAATGGTTCCTTCTAGCTTAATTTATATGTTATTATGCAGTAACCACAAATTATTCTTTAAACTTCTTAATATATGAGTATTAAGTAGAAGAGTCTGTATATGAAAATGTGTTTCAGATTTCTTGGGTGTGAAAATGTTAGTGCATTAACTTTTTCCTTAAACCACCCCAGTTGTGAATGTGAAGAAGATGGTGAGGAGAAACAAAAAACAGGAGGGTATTTTGATCTTGCCCAAAGTGTATACACAAATTGGCACCTGCAGCTTCTTGCCAAAGCCTTTCTTTCTTTCTTTCTTTCTTTCTTTCTTTCTTTCTTTTTTTTTTTTTCTTTTTCTTTTTTAAGAACTTGTGTTAGGGAAAATAAATTCTGCTTCCAGGGACAACTTCATGGAGCCTATTTACAAATTAAGAGCCAGCTTTATGAACATTTCTACCACAGCCAAGAATTCCGAATTCCTGGTAGATTAGCGTTTTAATTTCTAAAGGGCTTATGCATTCGGCTCTAACTCAACTCATTTATGTGCTGCCAGTAATTAAAATGTTCCACCTCAGACTGCACAAATGGCTTATCCTTCTTTGTAGCATGGCGTCTGTYTCAGGGGGAAAAAAGGGGTGGTTATGAAATTCCATGGCAACATTCCCAATACGTTTGAGCTTTCCGCTAAAGGGCTAGGTGGATTTTGGTGTGTAGTCTTCAGTACATCACTGTATTTCTGCAACACTCGGCTCCAAGCTCTGCCAGATCACATACACCCATTGTGAAAGAGGAGCTGCTTATTATATGCTTGAAATATCACACATCCTGTTGACTCTTTGGGGGACAAGAGAAGAGAATTGGGAAGCAAGGACTAGTAGGAAAGAAAGCTGGGGAAGGAAAGTATTCCCACCAGATGACTGTTCAGTCCTGCTGAAGAGACCAACTTTTGCATCTCAAGATGGTAAACTAAGGCCCATTCTACCAGCCTGGGGTCTCTACAGGTCCGGCCCTCCTTTGTCCTATGACTAATGGACTCACTGAATGACTTGCATTCTTCTGAGTGGGGTGACACAAAGCCTGTACCTCCAAGGTAGCATCCTGAGCCTCAGTGGGTTCCCATTGACTCCAGAGAAAATGTGTATGTGGAGCTGCATGTTCTTAAGTCTTGAAGGTGAAACCAGTGGTATGCAGTGGTTACCACCACCCACGGAAACACTTCCTTCTGCACAAGCACTCCTTTTACTAACACCACCCTCACTGGGGTGAGGCTGAGGGGAGACGCCTGGAGAGAAGGGTCAGGATTGCTTCCACYGCTGTTGGGCAGTGAAGTCCTGGGGGCAGTTTCAGGAAGCACATCAGGTTTCTTAAGTAGAGGCCCTGAGCAGGAGCTTAGTCTTTCTCCTTCCTTTCCTACTAGCCTCCTGTAGATAGGCTCCCACCCCGTACTAAGGAGGCCACAATCTGGGGACCAACCACACCAACAAAAAGCTCCCTTTGCAGCCAAGGTGCAGAGTTGAGGTGAGGATCGAAAAAGAACAGAACCAGATCTCCAAATGCTAACACAATTTGCTAAAAATGCTAAACAAAGTGTTGCACAGGCCCTTCCTCCTGGCAGAGAACTAAACAGAAGTGTCTCTCCCATCACCCTTTGCCACCACCCACCAGAGGAGAGAGAAGTACTGATAAATCCACCCATCTGTAGATACCTTAAGTCACTCTTCCAAGAAGTCATTGAGTGGCACTGATAAGCCAGCTAATCTTAGCTTTGCTATCCATTCTGAGCTGTTCCTGACTCAGCTTCTGACTTTACCAATGACAAAATTTCTTACCTTATAAATGGAGCACTTACCATTTTTCTATATTTTTCCATATTCACAGGGTCCCAGAAAGAAAATGACCTCAAATTTCTTTTGCAAAGGAAAATTTTGAAAACACAAAAATCTTAACTAATTGAAACACCGTATTATTCACTGTTTTCCAAGTAGCATCTGTGTGGCTATTCTCTTCCCTCCTCTGCTTCTTTGTCCCCTCTGTTGAAGATGAGATTTAAAGGTTTTAGAGGAAAAGCAGTTCTTTTGGCCTGGGATATAGCACAGTGGTAGACCACTTGCCTAGCAAGGTGCTGGGTTCCATCCCCAGCACAAAAATAGACAAAGCAAGCATATTTCTGAGACATATCTCAGAGCAGGCAGTAAGACCATCATGACAATGTTTCTCTGAAGGCCTAACTTTAAGCTGCACTCTACTGACAGAAGGCATATGGATCTCTAGTAGAGCTTTGGAAATTCAGGGACACTTAAGATTTGTGAAAGAGCTTGGACATCTTTAAGGACTCAAACTCTCAGAATGAGGACTTGTGAGCTCAAGAAAAGAAAGGGGAGTGGTGAAAATTCTCTCCTAAAAACACAGCATCAAGAGCAAAAAAGATAAGCACTATGAGTGATATCTCTTATCCCTCAAAGAATTGAAAACTATTCTTATGTTCATACAGAAAGTATAGTTCTGGAAATCTCTATAGACATAAGTAGGATGAGCAAAATGACTTGGGATTTAAGTGCTTAAAATGAGGACAAAGGCTAGACCACTCTAGGAAATGGACTGTTTTGTAAGGTCACAGGATGGAATGGTCCCSAGTAGTAACAATGAACCCAGGGTTGAGTACTCCTGGCTCTAAGGACTGTGGACTTAGAATTCTGAGTCTAGAAGTTTTATTTCCAGAACTTGTGTGAGCTCAAAAAGTAACAAAAGCTGTAGATAGTCTATACCCAGCCATGCTATCAATAACAGGTTTTTGCACTTTGAAGAAATTTGATGCAAGTTCCCTCTGAATATTATAATAATGGACTATCTTATACATTGACATTGATTATGTTGTTATTTGAAATTGGAAATTAATGTTTTAATTAAAAATGTAAGGACACCACAATATCTACCTTTCAGAGGTGTTGTGAGGTTGATGTAATTTTGTCTATGGGTTAGTTCTACTTGTTTGTTTTGTTTTATTTTGTTTGGGACAGAGGGGTGGGGATGGGTTATGTTGGATGATTGTAAATTTTCTGCTATATGTACTGAGTCTGGATTTAAAGACATGAAAAATATCCCAAGACCCTACTAGAGCCATAATAGTAATCTCATTGCAAATGAAGGTAACTGATGTGTAACAGTTTMCTTCACATTGTTCTAGTGCATCAGAGTAGAGACTATGCTGAACCTTGGAACCAGTGTCAGTTAACCACATGCTATGGATGCTTCATGGTGATGCACCCAGGAAACTAGAATAGCTTTGCTCCCTCACTGTCTTTGAGCTTCAACTCCATTGACCCCACTCCAGAAAGCCTGGAGAGTGGCCCCACAGTGCCGGCCGCCTCTTTCCGAGCCCTTGCAATACATCCACGGGGCCTGTTTCATATTCTGAATTAAGTGTGGTTTTGCTGCTTTCCCTTCTGAAGAGACTGAGAACACACATTTTAACATGCTAGGAAAATGGGGCAGCCTTAAAAATGACTGATCCCATTGCTAATGACTCATTTTTAAAAGGACTTTTCCAGGTTAGCAGACAAGGCCCTACGTGGTGGGCCAGCTTCTGTGGGTTCACAGAAACCAAAGTACTGTGGGTTGCAAAGAATTAGCAGGTCATTTAAAAAGTAGACATGTCTTCACCCAGACTGTGGTTTTGCATGCTCAGGTTCTCAGTCTATGAGCTTTGGGGAAGGATCATTTTGGCTACTGGAAAAACCGTAGCTTATTTTAAATGTCTGGTTGCCAAAGCCACCACACGTGTGGTCTGTGCATGACCCTGGTCTGCAGAATGACGAGGAAGGAACACAGGAGGTTTGGGGCTCAGAGTGGCCTTACCGCCAGGAGCACGGCYGGGAGCCCTTGCATAGCAGTTTCCACTTGGCTTGTGCTCACAGCCTCTCCCTCCCATCTTT